AACCTCTCAAACCAAATTAATGTAAATATGCACAGGTTTTATCTGAGAGATAGGGCCACATCTTATCACCGGTAGTGGCGAGGTGTACGCCCTTTATCAACACAAGATAGATATATAACGCGTATGGAAATTTCACAGTTTATAAGATATTATCTTTATGATTGCCTTGTATAACCAAAATTTTGTAACATAAACAAGCAGTGAGATAAAGAATCTTATTTATTTTTTTAGAGGTGTTTTCACAAGACATTCAGTCTCTTTTCGAAAATCTTGAAGTTTGAGGGGGGTCCCATTGCTATAATAATAACAATAAGTTTCTTTCAAACATTGAATGTTCCGTTACACTTGTATTAGACAAGTTCATTTTATATAGGACAGTAAAGCCCCTTAATGGACGTCAAGCACACCGCTTGGTACTGAGAATAATTTTACTAAAGTAACTGAATACTGATTGAGAGTAGTCGTTATAATGAAAATAGATAAATGTAACATGAACATAATTACAAGCTTAAAACAGATATTTTAACAACAAAAAAAATCTACTTATTTCTTGTCATGTTTTATTTTTGAACATTTCATGATTAGTTTCCGAATTTAATGGGAGAGGGATATAGGAAAATTTGGATTCGTATAATGAATTTATTTTATTTAGCACCAACTAAATTTACATAACAAGTTCTAAATTTGTTTGGAGAGAAAGTAAAAAAAAAATTAAAAACGGGAAAAAAAATTGTCAAAATTTTGACGAAATTTACACATTCTTAAATAGTATCGTATATTGAAATAGTAAGTTTAGAAAAATGAGACTGGATTTAATGTCTTTTTATCCAAAGAAGCGAGCTGAAAATTTAAATATCGAAATTTAATAAAAAAAGTTAAAAACATTTATTCGATATAAAGTAATCAAAACATTGAAATAATTATGTTAATAGGTATTAGTGGTCATTTGTTTGTAATTGTAATTCTTTTAGACAACTATTTATTCCTCTCAAGTTTCTTTGCAACCCAGTTTATAATTTTTCCTCTCCCTTAGTTATACATGTATTTATCGTATAGCAACTGAGTCATACTTCACACTTTTGGTAGTAATTAATAACAGTTATCAATATTTACAATTATAATAAGTTACTTATGAAGTAACTTCAATTGTGGGTTCAATCGGACTTAGGAGTTAGTGGTTTAATGTATTGGTAACGTTAATTTTTCCTTGTACTGGTAAACGATTTTCGTTAAAGTGTATCTTAATAAAGTGTCTTTTTAAGTACCAAGTCATAATTCCAAGGAATTTATGTTACAAAAAAATACCATCGCTGTTTTCACATGATTATGAGTCAAAGATGATGTATCTTTAAGTTACGCAACTCTAATGGTTCTTGAATGTCATAGATTAAAATCATTTAAAAAAAAGTGACATTTTCCAGGGACGATTTGTTTAAGTGATATGGATGGTGTCAAGAACAGATCAAAAATATTCAAAGATATACTTTCAACGCTTTTTATCAATTCTGGAATTATTTACAAAATATTAAATTATATTTTATCATTAATAGAGAATTATTAATTTGTGTTCCCACGATGTTTTTTTTTCCTCTGTTATTAATATAAACATATAAATATTAATAACCAGCACTACCCCCAATAAGACGTGCGGGACAAGAATCTTCTAGAACTCTCAACATACCGAACGAACCATTGATATTAATATTTTATTTTTCTAAGAAGAGGAAAAAAAGATAGTATTAAAAATATATATATTTTTTTAAATAAAAGAAACTTAGAACCTTGAAAAGTTTTAAACAAAATTATTTTTCCTTCACTGCAATTTTAAAAATAAATAATTAGCATTGCAAATTTCACAGTTGTTAAAAAGATCGTAACAGTTTACGTAATGTGAAACTTGCTAATAAGTCAACTTAGAACGTAGGTACTCTTCAGAAAAAATAAGTTTTCGTTCCCGAGTTTTACATGAAGTTCTTAAAAGAAAATAAGATTTATTTGAACTATACAATTCTAACAATAATGCAATTAATTATAGAAACTTTTATTTGGCATAACGAATCAGGTTAAAAAATTAATTTTTCTATAATTACTTTAATATACTATAAAGTTTCAAAAATATTCTGAAATCAACGTCAATTCTAAAGTTTCGCCACTTCAGGCATTTTGGGTTTTGATGTTTTTAAACCTATTTTTTCCGCCCTTTCTTTGTTTATAATGAGTAAAATGATATAGTTATTACAAAGAGTACATTTGATCCATGTCATTCAATGAAAAAGAGAAAAAAAAAGGGTTTGAAATACACAATGAAGCTTGACGAAATTATACTAAACTCCCTTTTCAGAAGTGTGACAGATATATATTCAACATTTTGAATGATTATATTCATCTAAATCAGAATAAAGAGTTTTTTTTTTCCATAGCTCTACAAAGATTAAAAAAAAAAAGATATGTTGATACGATTAAATAGTACCAAGAATAATATAATATTATAGATGTGCCAGAAACATGAATGAAATGGAATGTTTTTTTATCTGGGATTGTTTTCTATTATAGATAATGATATCAGGTCTATTCCGATAAATGCCATCTCCCTGCCTGGGTAATATATCTGTAAACACTCTAACCTTAATAATTCTCTCCAAAAAAATTCTCACCGTCCTCGCATAATTATTTGATTGTACCTCCTATTAAAATATTTTCCACTATGTAATATATAACAATCATCATTAATTACGATTACCGATGTTAAGTTTAATACGAATTATACAATCATCGCCTGGTAATAAATTGTGGAATAGTAAGAAACCCTGAGTCATGAAAATAAACAGTACCCAGATTTTAATGCAAATTGCACATTTTTTTGCATGAAGTTTTTAAAAATCTTTACGAATCTACGTACTTGGATGCAATAAGTCAAATTTTAAATTGCATATTTTTACACATTTGATGATAAATGCCTATATTTTAATGATTTGCGTAAAGCAAGTAATAATAAATAGAAATAAAATTTTTATCTTATCTGAAAGATTAAATTTCAGATTACAATCTCAGTTTCATATACAATTAACAAATCAACAAAATAACCTCAACTTCAGTAAGAAGAATAGCGATTTCCCAAATTTTCATCTCCTCTTATTATCATTTAAAGATTACACTCGTTTTCGATTTAGGTGTGTTTATTACTTTATTTTTAAGCTATGATATTATCAATTTTAAATGGTAAAAGTAAGTGCCAAAGAACGTTAACATAAAGGAAGGAGATAGGGACAATCCTCCGTCTAATATTTTATGGGGGGTCACAATGTCTTTGCTCTCTTCCCCCTTCCTTCCCTCACCCCAAAAAACGTACAGGTAATAATTGTATTATTAGAGTTACTAAATCAATGACTGTGAAACTTCTTTATGTATGGCGTCCTAACCTTCGCATCCCTCAATACTTCCCAAGCGCCGGCGCCTCTTGTACTCATAAATGCATTACGTCCTTCCAAATTGAAATCTTGGATCGGCTGTTACAATATCAAATTTGTAATAGTTTTTGAAACTCATAAAACAGTCGTTATTTTTGTTGCAGCAATTGTGCAAAACAAGTGTTTTGTGAAAACAACCAACCGGTAATTGTAAGAGATTTGAGAAAAAAAGAGAATAAATATTATGAACATTATATTATAATTATATGAGAATATTATTATTGAAGAAAAATTGAAGCAATTTTTATGAAATTATTAATCCTTCATCCAATTTCTTTTAATATTTTTTTAAATATTTTTGTAGACATACTGGTTTTTTAAAAATTTATTAACTATCTTATTGAAATTTAGTTTGCTGTTTGCATATTTTTTGCTATATATTTTAGGAACTCTTATTGAATTTTTAACTTTTTATTGCACATTATATAGCATATTGTAAGTATTTTTTAAATACAAATTTGGGATTTGAGTATAACATAGTACGAATTCACAACTTGTCGCTTGTTTTATAACGATTTGAAAAATTAATTGATAGTTAAATTAAAAATCCATAAATATATGTTTTGTATTTTAAAGAGCTGAGCTGAGTTATTAATTTATGCGATAATAGCTGACGTGTATTCTATTAATATAAGCTATAACTGTTAAGATTTTATTGTTTGCTATAGACAAATGAATATTATAGGTTGAAATATTTTTGAAATTATTTTTATTATATTTTAATTTAATTTAATTATCACATTTTTCTGTCCATCCACTACCTATATATATATATACATGTATAACAAAATATCCTTAAAAATAAATAATAAAATCATTAAGATTGATAAACGAATCTAATTAAACAGCCTGATTTATCAAATAATAAACTTTAATCTAGAATTTTTTAAAAACAAATTTATTATAGATCAAATAACTGTCAAAATTATATTGACGTCACCAAAAAGAAATCGATTTTTATTTTATTATCGTTTTATTTAATACACTTATTATCGAGCTATTTACAGAAAACTTTCCACACTTATTGTTAGCTAAATGTACAAGGTCTTGGTTATCTTTAAACCACAGTTCTATTTAGTTTCGTTGATAAAAATTATCCTAGTTAAAAAACAGCAATTGAAATAACAAAAAGAAAATATTAGCATATTTATTTAAAATTAGGATTTCTTTAAATAACGTCCCTTTAGTTGTTATAGTTAATAATACATGAAAATTAGAGCCAAGAATTATGTTCAATAATAAATCGAATTGACTATAGTGACAAAGGAAATCTATTTAGAATTAAAACAAAAGTAAAACATATAAAAAAAGTTACGAATACACAACAAAAAATCATGGACATATGTGGAAACCTTTTTTGAAAATTAAACCATAATAATAACAATAATAATAAAGTTAGTGCCGTATTTACATCAAAGTGCAATAAATTCTTTTATTGAAATAGCCACATCAAATTTTTAATTTTTTTTTTTCGGTAGTAAAATTTATAGTTAATATTATCTATGACAAATTAAAAAAAAAATATTGACTTACGTGTATGGAGGCATGGCGTCGACGAAAAAAATAGATCTATAAGAAATAGCGAAAAGTCCAGTATACATTCAGCTGAGTTCAGGAGCCAGATTTGGTATCGGAAAGTAAACTAGATTTTTTTGAAACGTCAGATCTTATTAAAAATACAGCTGTATATAGATTCCATTGCGATTTCCATTTCCAAAAACCAAGTAAAATGGGCGAACTGCCGGAGACTTCGAAAAGAGCCATACTACTACAATAGATATATTCTAATAATATATAGAGCACTCTAACAGTACAGCTGTTGCCAGCACCACAGCTAGAACGACACTGACTCAACCCAGGCACTGATAAACTGATTAAATATTTTTCCATATCCCTGAGTGTACCGTACTCAGTGTACTCAACGTTTCCTTATCGCTGTCTTACCTCTTATTGTTCACACTACTCAAATTTTTGAAGGTTGTACTAGTTTCACCAGTTATAATTTAATTTGTTTAATATTCATTCCGTTATATCATCTTATGTACCATTTAAAGCAAAAAGATTATGGGTATAGAAGCATGGGCGATTTTCTTCAATCTGAGGTATCTGAAAATTCCTCAGATGAAGGAAGAAGCTATAGAAATGTTAATTGCAAAATAAATTAAATTTCAAGAATTCATTTAAAATATTAATATTTCGATAATTACATGGATAATTAATTTGTGATTTATCGTTCCGTTTCATCCATTTTCCTGATCTAGTGGAGATATTGTAGGTCGAACGCTCAGTAACCGAATAGAAATTATTATCTAAAAATTATAATTAAATTATTTAATTGGCCTACCTAAGGTATTAAATTTATATTTCAATCCAAAAATGATAGAATCACTTCCCTTCCCCATCCGGAAGAAATTCTACCTATAAGACGGTTACTGACATCTCTATGATTTTGAAGCTTTAGAAATTGCCAAAAACAGTATTGTTATGTTTGTGAATAGATCCGACTGTAGCCCAACTGTGTTCTTTCTGTTCACCCTCCCACCTCTGGCGGATCCACTGGGAGAGGGAGGAGGGGGGCATTCTGGCTGAAGTCCTCCTCCCCTAAATATAAAAGAATCATTTTATTTTTTTTTATTGATCCATATTTGTTTAGTGATTGATCTAAGGTGTATTAATAATCAAAATATGTACTATTTTAAAATTATAACGGATGGATTTTATTTGGAAAATAAAAAATAATAAGTAAAATTAAAATTCTAACCATGTGTGAAGGAAAACATGTAAATAAAAAATATTCGTTAAACTATAATTGTTCCTATAAGCAATTTTTTTTTTATGTTGGCCTTCAAGTACTACGTAAACATTATTTTGTATAAAATATATATACAAAAAAAAAAAAACGCAATCCTTCTCGCCAAAAGTAAATTTTGATCAGCTACTCCTTCCCAAGTGTCTTCCAGGACTCACCATATTTATTTTTTATATATTTTGATTATTTGACATGGCAACCTATTACGATATTCATTCTTCCTGGTCAAGGTATAATTTTCGTTTCCTGTAAAGGTTTGCCAATATTCTTAATATTAATAAATCAAGTATCAATTTGAAAAGAACATCAAAGGAAACGCCGTTTTTAAGGCATCCTAAGTTATTTACTAACACTAAACTAAATGTGTTTTAATCGTTGAAATTTAACAACTTTTACAACAGAGACTCAAATTTAGCTTCTATGGTCGGGTAAAGTATTTCGTAGCTTTTAATGATAGAAATATAAAATTCATAAAGCTTCACAAGAGGTTTAGATACCGACTAGAATACTTAAACTCTTTTAAATAAAAACATTAAAAACTCTTTTTAATAAAAACATATTAGTACCTCAGAATTTAGCCACGATTTGATTGATTGCGTCACCTGATTGTTATCATCATTGTTTGCCGCACAAACACTGACGTTCGATTTCTTAAGGTGGTGAAGGAATTGAAGATGTTAGAATAATATGCACAGTTTCGATATGATCCGAAAATAAAAGGAATGAATGCTGATGAGCAGAATTTTAAGAAATTCAATCAACCACAATCACTCATTCTTGTTTTCTGGCGCTGTAGTTAAGGATGAACTTTGTTGGCCCCCGTACAATCTTTCCCTACTCATCTCTATCTAGTACTTTCCTCCTCCGGCCTGCCTTAGAATGCTCTCTTCTTTTACAACTCTGAAACTCTTCTTCTCTGATCATTTTCCAAATCATCTGTTCATGTGATTGCTTCTCTATATGGCCAAGCCAAAACATCTTTCAATCATCGTCCTTCTTACGCCTACAACCTTCTCCAATTCAAGTCCTCAGTCCATTCCCTTTTCACCAGATCTCGACCTTCTAAACTTTACATGCCTTCTTACAGATCTGCCTTATTCCAGAACTCCTTTATTGCTCACTCTGTCAATTTCTGGTATTCCCTCCCTATCATATTCTCCCTCCATATCCACATTCAAAACCCTCCTATTGCAGTTCCTATCCCAAAAACAGTCAGATAGTTACTGACCATTCGACATTATACATTTATTTTGTGCCATATATTATCAAATATTAATGCTGTTCATTGCTAGGGATAGTAATTTTCTTCTAGGGATAATATTTTCCTGCTGTTGATGCCACTGAACGCATCTATTGTTTGTTTATAACTATTATTTTTTATACACCATTAAATTCTCGCCTATCGCTACGTTAAGAAATGCTGATGATACATTTATACATTATATTTATTATATATACACGCACTTTATATAATCAGGTTCAACTTTCTTCTATCTCAACAGAAACACAGAGCTTATTTAAGGAACAATTTGATATATTTTTCTTTTTTCTTTATTGTTTTCTTAAAAGTGTATATTTATACTGTTTTATCATTGTAAATAGTTTTAAGTGTCTTTTCATAGTTTAAGTGTTTTGTATATAATTTTATTTGTTTTGTATAATATTTTCTTAACTTTTTTCTATTGTTTTCATTAAGGGCAGATGTAATCTTTTAATTTTGATCTATTTTGTTATTCTCAAGGGACTTTGTCCCTGTATAAAGTTATTTTCTATATATCTATTTATCTTTCTTAAATTTAATGTGTTCTCATGCCCCATGAGATCATCGATTTCTCTGTTTTTTTCTAATATGATAAGTGCCTTCCAAGCAAATTCGATTAATATTATCCTTTCACACTACCTATCACAGATTAAAAATTATATCGATGCGCCGAAATATATTTTATAACACAGATACATTTATTATTGCATTTTAAAAGATATGGCATTACTATTCCGTGAATTCTGAAAATGTTGATCGATGGAATTCATTCGACTATATAGGTACCCGCTAAACAATACTACAATTTTACGTATTGTATAAGAGCTTATGATTTTTTTCTTCCGCACACAAGAAATATGGCTATGAATTTTTTTAACCAACAGCCAACTAAAAAATAATATTATAGGTAGGTAGCGTCATTCCAAAGAAAAAATCGAAAAATATCATCTTATCTCAATTATTATATTATATTTTCTCCATATGTGCCCACCGATTAGTAGTGCCGTAGCAGAATCGGCAAATAGTGCAAAACCCGCCTTCCAGATAAGTATTGAAAAGCTGAATAAATCGTATAGTGTATATTTAATAAATCATTTAGAGTTGTCTTCTATTAATTTAATATCGATTCAGAAAATTCCATCGATAATGACCCAACAGGTTGAAGCCTTTAATTTATATACGAAAATACCACAAACATACAAATACTTCCTTGAATCCTTAGAAAAATAATCAATACTAAGTTATGTAGAATTAAACCTAGTAAAGGAAATTTGGTGTTTAGTCAGGGCCAAAATAGAATTGAAATCTATTTTCGAACAGAGGGTGATTTTTCATTTCTGTCTGAGTTTTGCAAACACTAAAATTACTCTCAAGCAATCGGCTTGTTAAGAATATAATAATTGCTATCCTAAATTGCTATAATATACATTTAAGATTATAGAGATCTATTATAGAGTATATTATAGATTATCAAAACAACCGGAATATATGGAAAATGTACAATACTTCTGATTTCGCTTCCATTCTGAGTTAAAATTCATTGAGTCCGCTGACAAATAATTACCGACGAATCTTAAGATTACGTGAGTTCTGTGTGAATATTAGTGAATAATTTGGTACATCGCATTATCTTAGTGATATGAAAAGAATTTTTAACTCCAATCTCAAAAAACAATCGTTAGAGTTAAAAACTAAGTGAATATAATCATTATATTGCCTGTTTGTTTCCTGGCAATGTTAGGCAATTATAAAATGTATGAAGTGCATTTTTAACCGAGCTAAAGCTTACAGCTAACAAATCATTAATACCATTAAAATAAGAAATATCCTTTTTATCTTATTAATGGTTGATTATGGATTGTATGACTATTATATATTAAAATATTTTCCATTGCAAAGTTTACTAAAATGGAATTACAATATTTGTATTGCCTATCATGGATAGGTCAAATGTTGGGATATCACAAAGGGGAAATTATTCACTAATTTAATTTTGTATAAGTTCACATGATGATTTTTCGGAATAAACCGGTGATATATACCTAATTGTTTAAATATAATGTTGGATCTAGAGTTATTAAACTATAGTAAATATATTTAAGCCTATAATACATCTATGAAATATTTATATTTCAATTCTTCTTTCACACAATTACAATGAGATAGTATCTTAAACAATGTCATTATGTTGATTCCGTGGATTGTAAATGTTTTTTTTCAATCGTATATGAAAATATACGATTTACGTTAAATAATGTTAGTTTTCAGAATTTTTTTTTTCGTCTCTCTCTGTTACCTCCTACAACTTTGTTTATTAGATGTTGTTTTTTCTTCTATAATTCTCCGCTTTCCAACGATATATTATATCTACCAATACCTTCTGACTATTATATCCAAAGATCCATTTTCGACCTGGATCTTTTTTTATCCATTATTCAATTATCAAACTCTTCCAAAAGTTAAATTTTGCCTTTTTTCACAACTAATAAAAATTAGAGATAGTTAATTATTGAAAATAAACCAAATTAAAG